CCCTCCTCTTCTTTCTCCCATCGATTCCTCCTCCCTGCTCTCAGGCGGCAGAATCGGTCCCTGCTCTCAGGCGGCAGAATCGGGATCTGGTGGTGGTGCCGCAAGGGAGGATCGGGATCCGGTTCTGGTGCCGCAAGGTTGGGCGTGCGGTGTGCAATCCAGTTGCATACACGTTAGGGATTAAAAAAAAAAGTGTTCAAAAAAAAGTGTTCAAAAAAAAAAGTGTTCAAAAAAAAGTGTTCAAAAAAAAAAGTGTTCAAAAAAAAGTGTTCAAAAAAAACGTGTTCAAAAAAAAAGTGTTCAAAAAAGGTGTTCAAAAAAAAAAGTGTAAAAAAAAAGTGTTAAAAAAAAAGTGTTAGAAAAAAGTGTTCAAAAAAGAAGTGTTCAAAAACGGTGTTCAAAACACAGTGTTCAAAAAAAAAGTGTCAAAAAAAAAGTGTCAAAAAAAAAGTGTCAAAAAAAAAGTGTCAAAAAAAAAGTGTCAAAAAAAAAGTGTCAAAAAAAAAAAAAAAAGTGTGGACGAGGCAGGAGCCCACGCACTCTTAACTCTAAAAACGAAATGACGTGTTTTGGACTATAGGCTACAAGAGTGGCGCGGGACCACTTGCCCGGCCGGGCCAAAAAGTAAATAAAATTAAAAATTTAAAAAAATATTTTTAACTTCTTTTTTTATTTTTTATTTGGTAAAGAATTTCGATGTGACCCTGAGGCAAAAGTTGCTCAGTTTAATTTTCTTCATAACATAGTTTTAGGTTTTTTTTTCAGATTTTTTCGATTTTTTTTTTTTTTGCTAGGACCTACTTTCGCCCTTGCACGGTCGGGCCGCCCGGTCATACAAGCTCACCCGGGCGGCCCGGCTGGTAGCCCAGGTTTTGGATTAGATTAATTTTAAAAACATAGTTCGCAGGAGACAACAACTTTAAAAGATGTAAAAAAAAANATAGTTCGCAGGAGACAACAACTTTAAAAGATGTAAAAAAAAAAAAAAACTTAGTCATCATTTCAGACAAAAAAAGTGCTCAGAACTTCAGAAGAAAAGCTATAGCCACTGAAGAGGAAAAGAGAATATAATTATTTTTTTTTTTTTTTTAAAGACTAAGTCTTTAAGCACAACCAATTCAAATACCTGTTGAAGTAAAAAAAAAAAAAAAAAAAAAAAAAAAAAAAAAAAACACACACTGTCGAATCGTCCTTCGAGACATCCGTTAAAATTGGAACGATACAGAGAAGATTAGCATGGTTCCTACGCATTTACAAAAAAAAAAAAAAACTGTCGAATCTGGACAGGGGGACGGCCTGGAATGGAATAGTCACAAGCTATCGCCATCGAAGAGGAAAAGGGAATAGTCAGTACCAAATTGATTGGGAATAGCCACAAGCTATGGCCACTTAAAAGAGAAAGGGAATATGCAATAGCTTATGACTATTCCCTTTTCTTCTTCTTCCTCCTACTCTTCCTTCTCGTTTTCTCCTCCTCTTCCTCCTCCTCTTCCTTCTCGTTCTCTCTTCCTCTTCCTCTTCCTCCTCTTCCTTCTCGTTCTCTCCTCCTCTTCTTCCTCCTCCTCTTCCTTCTCGTTCTCTCCTCCTCTTCCTCCTTCACCCACCTCATAGTTTTCTCTTTCTCCTTTAAGAAAAAAGAACCTAGCTTTCTTTTTAACTTAACTTTCTCGTTTTAACCATATCTGTTTTGTTTTTGGTTTTTAGATTTTTGTTTGCCTTCTGTTTCCTCTGATTTCTCTATCCTGTTATGCCATAGCTTGTGACTATTTCCTTTTCCTCTCCCTCCTCCTCCCCCTCCTCCTCCTCCTTTTTGCTTTTCTCTGTTTCTTCTGATTTCTCTATCCTCTTAGGCCATAGCTTGTGACTATTTCCTTTTCCTCTCCCTCCTCTACCTCCTCCTCCACTCACCTCATAGTTTTCTCTTTCTCCTGCATAAAACAAAAAAAAAAGAATCACCCTTTTTTTTTTACTTTACTTTCTCGTTCAACCATCTGTTTTTTTTTCAGATTTTAATTTTCTTCCGTTTCTTTTGATTTCTCTATCCTCTTATCTTTTTCTTTTTTGTTTCTCTATCCTCTTATTTTTATTTTTATTTTCTCTATCCTCTTATCATTTTTCAACTGCAGTCTAACCCTTTCCTCCTCCACTCTTTCCTCCCCCTCTCTCTCCCTTTTCTCCACCTTCGCCTCCCCCTCTCTCCCTGCTCTCCACCTTCCCTCCCCCTCTCTCCCTCTCTTTCCCTCCTCCCAGCTTCCTCCCTCTCTCTCCCTCTTTCCTCCCCCTCTCTCCCCCTCCACCTTCCCTCCCCCTCTCTCCCTCTCTCTCTCCTTCCTCCATGCTTCCTCCCTCTCTCCATCTTTCCTCCTCCACTCTTTCCTCCCCCTCTCTCTCCCTGCTCTCCACCTTCCCTCCCCCTCCCTTCTTGATGTCCAGCCTTTCCTCCCTCGCTCTCCATACTCCCCATGCTTTCCTCCCTCTCCCTCCCTCCTCCGCCTAGGCCAATCAAAAAGAAGTTTCAAAGAAAGTTTGCAACGAAATCATGACATCACCAGATTTGGAAATTCTTGGTTCTGCGCCGACGGTCGTGGAGGAGAAGGAGGAGGAGGGAGGAGGAGGGAGGAGGAGGGAGGAAGTGAATGTCCTCTGGAGGTAATGGGAACTAATCAGGATAAGGGCCTCGTACACACAAACCCAGAAACTACAGCTAGAAATACGAGTGAATCTTCCCGAAGAAGACGGCAAGATGCATCCGTTTCCTATTCATACGTCTATCTTCCCACAGGCGGCGGCAAGATGCATGCATCCGTTACACTATGCATAGCAACTGATGCATCTTGCCGCCTTCTGTGGCAAGATACACTCGCATTTCTATAGTTTCGTGAGTCGAACTAACGGATGTATCTTGCCACCTTTTGTGGAAAGATACACTTTTTTTTTTCTCGTTTCGTACGTAGTATGCCGCCAGGCCCTAATTATTCAATCATCGTCACGATGGTAGGTCATAATTCGGCGACAAGGACAATTAACCAGAAAAGAGAAAAAAAAAAAAAAAAAAAAAGGGGACTCGCTCTGTTGCCCCAAAAAGCCAACAAATTAATGTCAGAAGGTGAGGGTTGAAGGCTTTTTTTTCCCGCGCTTTTTCGCGAAAGAGGCAGACATAACCTGTATTTATAAAAAAAAAGGCGCGCCAGGTTCAGAATACATACAGTAATAATACAAATACTAGTCATTTTAAACAAATACTAGTTAAAAAAAAAAACGAAAAAAAAAACTACTTGAGATCTTACGATTCATTTTAAAACGATTTGTGTTTTTTTTTAAATCCGTATTTTCTGTTATTATTTTTATCATTTTTGTGCCTGTGCGTGATTGCTTGTGATGAACCTACTTACTACATAGGGTATGCTCACACTCAAGGTACATCTGTTCCGACTGAATCTGGTCGTTTTCGCGACATAATCTTGCGTGATGAAAGCATCAGATACACTCGAATACTGTTTTTGTGTATAATATTATTGTGTAAAACAATTAAAAAATATAAAAATTAAAATTAAAAAAAAAACACAAATCACGGGAGTCCTACCGTAGTGTGAACATGCCCTGGGCAATTACCTCAGAAATCGGACGGATGAGATTAATCATTAATAATGTCACCCTTCTTCCCCGCGATGCCATTTATTATTGGCCCTGATTGGTTTATTTATTAATTCGTTTTAATTCATTTATATTAATTAATTACTGTAATTTATCAGTTAGTTTCACAAGCTATTCGCCTAGATACGTGGGACCACCACCTTCTCAAGCGAACTGTTTTAAAAAAATAATAATAAAATCAATCTAAACCAATTAATCAATCAATCAATCAACCAATCAATCAATCAATCAATCAATCAATCAATCCAATCAATCAACCAATCAATCAACAAATCAATCAATAAATTAATAGTAAAATATACTGATAAAACTATCGTCTTCACCTTTAACGAACGCCCAGATATCGCTGCATCCGGACTAAAGCTGCGCCAAATACAGATTTACTGCCGGGGCGTTCTATTCAGGTTAAGAGGGGAGTAATCATCATAGCATAGCATTTCTTGCACAGTCGGGGCGATGCTAGGTTTCTGGAGTTTGCCCACCATCTTCCCTCGAACACAACGCATCGTCATCGTGGATGCATCGAACCGCAAAATTGCGCCAAATACGGATTTCCTGACCAGGCGTTCTACCTGCTCGAGTGAACCAAAAAAGCTTTACTCACCGTCACCGTGACTGTATCGGACCGTAAAGATGGCTAGTATACATTCTTCATGATGAGGGCGCGTTGTGCCCGGCCCAAGACGGCAGAGGGCAATGACGGCGGCGCAAGAATAATTAGGGTTAAATGAGAAAAATTGCGTGATGGAAGTGAAGTAGGGAGCCCATCGAAAACTCCAGAGCGCACAAACTCAGAGAAAAACTCCATACCCAAAAAGAACAAAAAAAGGGTACCAAGAACACCCTTACACAGAACAAAAGGGGAACAAAAAAAAAGAAAAAAGAAAAAAAAAGAGGCCTGGTGCAGACTGGCGGTGGCAACACGCAGCGCGCCAAGCAAAGAGTCAATGGAGATAACGGGAAAGAGGGAGGAGGAGGGAGAAGGAGAGAGGAGAGAAAAGGAAGGAGGAGGAGAGAAGAGGGAGAGTCACGGACAGATGTGAGAGGAGGAGGAGGGAGGAGAGGAACGAGAGAGGAGGGAAGAGAGAGAGGAGGGAGAGAAGATGGAGAGAGGAGCACGAACGGAGAGGAACGAGAGGTGAGAGAAGGGAGGAGAAAAGACGAAGGAGGGTGGAAAAGGCACGAGGGAGAGAGGAGAGAAGAGGGGGGAGGGAGGAGGGAGGAGGGAGCAGAGGAGCAGAGGAGGAGGGAGTAGGAGCACGGACCGCGGAGGACTCCAGTGACCAATCCAGGTTGATTGAAACGAAATGGACGTGGACGGATTCAGGGGATAAGAGCGGACTCACGCTTGTTCTTTTTGCCTGAATCTAGCTGGAATTAAGGTCCAATACGCCAAGGGAAGTTCAAGTCTATTGAGTTTGTGTGTCCTCGACTGCCACTGCCCTACTGCCCTTTCCACCTCGGCTCAGGGAGATATGGCAGCAGACTGCGGACGTAGCCGATTTGCTCTGAACGGGCGGGCGCGACGAAGGAAGGACATAATGAACTCAGAACTGGCTTAGTTGTTGTTCACGCCCGCTGTCACCCCCTCCGACCCCCACCCTCAAGGTCCTGTTCCTCCCCCCCCCTCTGCCCCCCTCCCCACCCCCGCTCCTCTGCCGCTCGTGTTCCCCCCCGCCTCCGGTCCTGTTCCTGCCCCACTGCAGACTCTTCCTGTCTCCGGTTCTCGCTTTCGAAAGGACTTCGGAGAAAAAAACTTTTCACACTCGCAGGCGTCGGGTTCTTTTTTTTTTTTTTTTTTTTCAGGCATCGGGTAAGGAAAAAAAAAAGAAAAAAAAAGGCCGAGCACCAACCCCGAGTACCTAGCCACGGGGTCTCGCTCCAGCACTCTCGGCTCCTGAAAAATCAGGGGTGGGGCATGGGTCGAATTATACTCTAGAATAGGGGCCTTGCTCCACCACTCACCACATGCAAAAAGGACAAAACATATGGCTGTGTATCTGTCCATGTTGTAGGCAAAAATTCGTTCTCATTTTGCACATTGGGTGAGTAGTGGAGGGAGATATTAGGAGCTTGGAAAAGAGCCTTGAAATGTAGAGTTGTCAGAAAACACTCTTGAAATGGGGACTTAGGGCTTCAAGCCTGTAGAGGACTCCGTCTAGGAATAATGGTCCAGAAAGCCACGTAGTGTGCGTCATTCCCAACCTCGAGTGACTGAACACCGGAGAGCACTCCTACGCCTGAATTTATGCGTGTCATCCTTGCGCAGGGACCATGCTAATCTTCTCTGTATATTGTTCCAATCCTACGCCTGATATCCCGCCTGGATTTATGCGTGTCATCCTTGCGCAGGGGCCATGCTAATCTACTCTGTATCGTTCCAATTTTAACGGATGTCCCAAAGGACTGGTATCCTGCCTCTCCAACGACCTGAGCGTTTAAAAAAAAAAAAAAAAAAAAAAAAAAAAAAAAAAAAAAGGGCCTCGCTGCAATATTCTAGACTCTCTATATATTTTGAGAGAGTTGTAAGATGCACAAAGCTCTTGAAATTATAGGCTTCACTGCACTAGAGGCATACTCACACTGGGACCGATAATCCCAAATTGCCCCCAAAAAAAGGGTAGAGGGCCGGTCACAAAGATTTGCCAAATTCCTAAATATATTATTGCCTTCCCTATTTGTCTGCGGCCTGGGTAGCTGCAGAGCAAGGGAATTTCCGGTCACCTCTCGAGGTGACCGCAAATGCCCTAAAATTATTTTTTAGCATTTTCTTTAAAATTTGGTGAAAATGCGTTCACAAAAAAATTTGCACAATTTATGAATGGCGTCGTGTGACCAGCAAAGTACCAAATCGTCATTTCTCCATACGGCCATAGCCTTGTCCCATCCGGAAAGGTACAGATGTGTGACCCAAACCATGTCCAAAACCTCAAATCAGTATTTCCCAAATCCGCATATTTTGTGGTGTTGAGCGCATCAGCTCTCGCCTTTTATCGCGAAAGGGTAGAGCCCTCCCGGCCACGTCACGCAAGAGTCAAATAAAACAAAACAAAACACAACTTGGAAACAACGTGAAAACAATCTCGCAAACCGTTGAGACGGATGCGGCCACATCATCCTTTCGCCGCTCTAGGCTAGTGCGTCGGTCGTACTTCCCATGGTTCCCTACGACAGGATACGCGGGACACAACTTACCCTCCCTAAAGAGTTGTCACCGCCCTCTGGGGTGTATCCATATCGAGCTACTGACCCACATACAAAAGTTTTTAATTGTCTACTGCGTAGGCACGAGGAACACAACCCTAAGGTAGCCAAAACAATGAGATCAAGAGTGTGTGTGAGAGAGAGAAAATAAATAAATAAATAAATAAAATTGTTCCATTGTTGATATGAGTGAGAGAGAGAGCAAGAGAGTGAGAGAGAAAAAGAGAGATAGAGAGTTTTGTTCCATTTATTGTTATGAGTGTGAGAGAGAGGCAGAGAGTGAGAGAGAAAGAAAGAGAGATAGAGAGAAAGGGAAGGGGGGGACTACCATAGAGAGAGAGAGATAGACAGACAGACAGAGAGTTTTGTTTCATTTGTTGATATGAGTGAGAGAGGGAGAGACAAAGCGTGAGAAAGAGAAAAAAAAAAAGATAGAGAGAGAGGGAGGGGGCGAGGGCTACCGGAGAGAGAGAGAGAGAGAGAGAGAGAGAGAGAGAGAGAGAGAGAGAGAGAGACTTGGAGAGAGAGGGAGAGGTTGAATGACAAAATTGAAATATGGGTCAAATTTCGGTCTCCATCTATTTAATGTTTGGAATGATTTTTTTAAATTTATTTAGTGTTTTTCTGGAAAAATCACAACAAAATTTACGAGTATTCCAATTTTATGGTTGAGTGGCAAAAATGGAAAATGTGTTCATTCGGCGCGACGATTATTTCGCGATCTAAATGATTTATTTTAAATGTTATAATATTTTTCCTAGAAAGAACACGACCTCATCTATGGATTCTCAAAATTTCAGATTTTTTTGTGAGTTTCTCCAGGTCCACGCGCTTTGTTGGTTTACCATAAACAAACAGTCCATATCGGAACTACAGAAAATCGCCAAAGTGGCATTTTGCAAACGCATGTTCTGTTGCGCCTTACCTCCCTGTTTTGAGAAGATGGACCTCAACGCCTAGGCTTGAGACCCTTTTGCAGTTCACATACCCTCACTTATTTTTGGGGTCCCCTTTCGCCCGAGGGACCAATCCAACGTTCCCCACTTCGTTTTGGGGTCTGCTTCCACCCTAGGACCGGTCCTTCCTTTTTCCAAAAGGTCCGGCTCTACCAGAGCTAGTTGTAGGTAGTCCGCAATTTTGCCAAGGACCGATCCCCCAAATGGTTTTGCCCCCTAAGAACCCACTTTGCGTCTTGGTCGCCCGCTGCCAAAAATGCGACACCTTGACGCAGACGTTGAAGCCCACTATACCGCAGCCTTAGGGCTGCAAAATACAATTGCAGAGGTAAGTCAGATGAGGGTGTTTGCTCGTTCACTGTAGTATAGGTACGCTTGATTAAAATGCCTATGGATCTCGGACGTCGTTCGTCCCTTAGCGTGTTGAACTCCTAAATACGAATCGAACGATGGTTAAGTAGGACCGCCTCAACCAACACGAAGTTCACCATCAATACTAGTCCCTTGCACATAACCCCCAAAAAATCACTACAACAAAACATTAATGTCGGTTATAAAATACATATTTATAAAAAGATAGTCTTTAATGTCATCACATAATCAATATGTCAGCAACCAATGCTGTTGCGACACAAGCAATCTAAATAAAATTAACGTATTCATTCGCAGTCGATCCAACATTGCAAGGAATATCACTGACATGTTGAATCGGTTTCAACTAAACTTTATTTGAAGAATCAATATGTCAAACATTATTATTCCCCGTCCTTTATATAACCGAAAAACTATGATTCGCACTCCTAATGATGAGGAGAGCAACTGCCAAGAGAACAACGTCAAGGTAACTCTCTGTATGGGTTGATCCCTGTACAGGTCTCAATGACTTTGTATCGGTTGTAGTTCTACTACGAAAAACATAAAGTCAGAGCTCATATGTCATATCCATGAGTCGCGCCTCAATTGGTTGGAGAGGAAGCCTAATATAACTAAGATGCTCCCACCCTCTCACGTAGCTCCTAAATGTTATCACATGATGTGGGTTGGCGAATCACCAACGTACGATGATTAACTCAAAGGTGTACTTCATCGTTCTTTATTTGCTCTCAATCTCATTGCATTACTGTTGCGCAACTCTTAAAATAATAGAATTAACGACCCTCCAAGCGAGCGAAAACCCCCTACCGCTTCCCATGACTTGTCATCCACTCGTGTCAAAAACTTTATCTCTTTCCGTTCGTGACAGATTCCTGCCCTGATCAACGTGTGCGCTAACATTCGTGTCTACACGTGTGGTTACTCCTCAATACTGAAGCATGATAGTGGTATCATCGGGGCATTCTGAATACTACCCATCCGGTGATCCTAACTACACAAAGTCTGTTTTTTTTTTTTTTTAGTTATTATTACCTCGTGAAATCAAGGTATAAAACGAAAAAGCATGACCTACGACCCCTTAGTGATTGAATTGAAATCTCCAAAGGTTGTGCCTAACTACAATACAACTGGCGTTCCTCATGAGTCTGAGCCTCCAAAGAGTCAAGGTGTGTGAGCTGTCATCATCAGAAATCAATGTCTCAAGGCGAGGACCTCGCATGACCTTAACCGTCCGAGTACCATAAAGTGTAGTCGTATGAGAGGTTAGTCGCCACACTATGGCCCGGAATGGTCTACTCATCCTAAACAAGTATCGCGTCGAGGTGCCCAAGATCCGAATGAGGCCAAAGTGATCGCCGAACGAGGTAATTTTGATACCCATAATGACTCAAGAGAGTCACTAGAGGTTACTCGCGCGATGGAAATGCGAAGTATAACCATAAACTTTCCTGAAAATCGATCCACCTTGGCTAAAATGTCCGAGCACGAGTTAAAAAAAAAAACATGATCGTCCCGAAGCATACCGATGAAGCCAACCCATCGAGTCAGTATTCTGTTTCGAACCATTAACTTGAATAGTTGCTTTACTCGCTCAATCATTCCGACGTCGATAATTTCGCGGAAGAGAAAACACCTCGGAATAGTAAGATTGCGTCGGCCTCCATCCATTTGTCCACAAGAAGAAACACATCAAGCATTAATCAACTCATAGAGTCGACGCTCCTCGCTCTCGATTTCCTCGGTAGAAAAAAACATCTTGCCTGAACCATTGAAACCTGTTATTGCGAGTTCGACGATAATAATGGACACTATGAACGAATGGATTGTACCGCTCGTCGAAACGCTAGAGCATTAAGAAGTAAAACCACCTCAGTTTTGGAATCTCCCCGACATACGGAGAACACTCATCGTTGTGTAAAATCAAGAGGTAAGACATTTCATCACTCCTCCGAGGTGCAAAGCTGTAACTGATGATGTGCCTTGCAATGTTAATGCGAAAAATTCAACTTCATGAGGGTTTT